GTGTAGCCAAGTTGAATAGTCTGTACCCCTCTTATGTGGAACTGATGATTTTCAATGTGAACTTTAGGTTACTGTTTTCTAAAATTATTCCATTAAGTAAGCCATTTCTCTTAGTTTTTATCTTGAAGTGTTTTTCGTTTTCACTATTGGCAGAGGGCATGTGTGCTAGACAGAGAGAGAGAAATAAAAAAGCCCCCCCCCCCAGTGGGGCAGAGTTGAGCCACAATCTTCCCTCCCCCATTTCTCTATCCCATTAGGATACACATGTACACACACACACACACACACACACACACACCAGCATGTTTTTCAAGCCCCTGGGGATAAGATTTGAACTGCATCAGCCATAGGTATTTCTGCCTCTGATACATAGCACTTTACTACACCACAGGGTGGGCCCTGGCTTGAACTACTTCTACCTTCTTTCTTTCCCCTTATTACTCAGTCATCTATGCTCTTATGCCATAAGCAAGAAAGTTATAGGTGCCAGGAAATATTGATAGCTCATGGTTTTGTCTTGTTTCTCATCTTCATAGGCTTGATAATTCTTCTAGCCCAAACTAGATCAACTAATTTCCCATGAAATATAGAGGTAGCTGTGAGATGCATTTAGTTAACAATTTATGTTTTTAACATGTTATCCAGTATTTCTATTGAAATGTTCATGTATGTTTTGTTCATACGTATGTCCATATATTGGAAGAGAAAACAATTGCACAGAAATTGAAAGTTGTTTCCATAATTTCCTCAGGATTTTCATGATTTCTATTGTACATCTGAGCTTTGTTAACAATCTTTGCTGAATGTCCTACAAGCTTTTAAAATGTATTCATGTAGAGACTGTGCACAGGATAGGCAGTGAGAGAGAGAAAGACAGAGAAAGAGTAAGGAGAACCTTCCACAGTGCCTGGTGATGCTGTAATCCCCTTCTTCCATTCCTTCACACTATCAGGTTTGGGGAATTTGTGAGAGGGTCTAGCATGTTTCAGGCAGAGCAGGTCAGGGAATTGAGTGTGGTCACTGTGTGGGATGTATTTTCTCTTGAGCAGTGAATTCTGCTGCATCTCAGAGGTGGCACATACACTCTTACATGTAATTTATTGAAGTACATAAAACACACTAGTGCCAACATTGCTAGCTTGAACAACAGAATGCCCTCTGGCTTTTTTTTTTTTTATATTGTGATTCATCATATGACGTATCTCAAAAGATTAAAATTACATGATATGAATGGGAAATTTTTGTGCTTAACATTGAGTTTTAATGAGAATATTTTGTTTCAGTTCCCTATCACTCTTTATGGATTCTGTCCAAGAAGTGAAAATGAGGTCTGTGAAACAGCAGACCTGGAAGGAAACTGCTCCACTGAAGACCAAGAAGCAACAGGTTCCAAAAAGTTACTCCCATCGATTATGGAAAGCAGAGACCAGGTATTTAACACTTGCTTCACTTGCTTTAGAATGATTTAAAAGTTTTTTGTTGTTGTTGTTTTGTTTTTTACTATTTAATTTACTAGACACTTGTGCTCGCTGGAGAGACTAAGAGAGAGAGAAAAAAAGAGATAAAATGAGAATGCGCCCAGCCCCCTTGGGGAGTGGCTGTGCTGCTATCCCTTCTCCTTCATCTCTTCTTTCCAAATTTTTATCATGCATGCATGACCACACTGGACATACTTTTCAAGTCACTGGGTCTGGGACTCAAATCATACAGGAGGCCATGTGGGATCCAGCTGCCTTAACCACAACTAGCCACCAGCTGAACTGCTTTTATTCTTAATTGTGCTGAAATAGAATGAACTAAATTATGTGGTAACACAAAATTAACTTTCCTAATGGCTTTTTAGTGTTCAATTTAGTAGTGTTAAATACATCCACATTGTCATACAATCATTTATTATTAAAAGTCTTTTGTCTAATCTGTCTTACAGTCAGGGACTATAAATGACCAGCTCAGCAATTCACGACCAAGAGCTGTGAGGTCCATTGTACGTAACCTGGAAGGTATGTTGTTTTCTGGGCAGGAAGTCTCATACCATGGAAATGAGTTTTCACTGGGAAAGTGAAAAGTGGCTTCCTGTTGTCAGGATTGTCCCATTCTTTCCCTCACTCCATTCCAAACCGTCAGGTTCCCCAAAGAAAATGGTTTTCTCCTTTACAGAAAGAAAAAAGGGCCAACAGGCCACCTATTATTCACTGAGGTCTGAAAAAGAAGCAACACATGTGGAATTCAAACCTTGGAATTTCAAAGAAAACAGTCCTCATGGAGTCTACCAACAAGCAAGGAAGACTATGTTTGAGTAAGATGTTTATGTGTTCACTGATACAAATGCCTTTGTAAGAATACGTGGGCTGAACATTGACTCCTCCTCCTCCAACTTCTTTTAGAATCATGCGGGAAGTGTTTGTGCCAAATTCTGTTAATACAATATTGTGCTCATCCTTCTTTCCTTGAATTCTGTAATCTTCTGTGCTAAGTGTCATACGGTCTTTTATTGTTTATTCATGTAGAGAATGTCCACAGGACAGGGGAGGTCAGGGACTTCAGACCTACTGGTCTCTGTTCAATAACAATAGTCTTCTTTATTATCCCTCAGACATCAGGTTCTGTGTTATTTCTTCCCGAGCCCAAGGCAGGGTTTTTTTAATGTCCTCACTGGCTTTGTGTGTGCATTGAACTGTAAGCTATTTTAGGATAGAAATGGTGCCTACACCCCTCTGTGTCTTTAGAACCTCACCAACACCCACATCCTAAGAGCCAGTTCAGAAAATATTGGCTGAAGGATTGCCTGGATGGCCAGAAACAAATATATTGACATCCCTCTACAGTGTTTTAGTCCCTGCATTTTAGAGATTTTTTTTTTTATTTTGCATACAATCTATAGAAAATAAAGTCATAACATTGAGAATCATTTTTTTTTCTTTTCTTTTTTTGGAGAGGTTTTTGCTATAGGGCACATGTGCTTGCCAGAAAGACAGAGACAGAAAGACAGAAAGCAAAAAATCACCTCCCGTGAGGGGACGGCCACAGGGCAATTCCTTCTCCTCCATTCTCCTCTTGGGATTTTGGGCATGCACACACATGCACACACACACACACACACACACACACACACACACACGCCATGTGAGTTTAAGCTGCCAGGTCCAGGACTTGAACCATGGTTGATTACATGAGAGTCCAGCACTGTTACCATTATGCCACCTGCTGGTCCCAAG